ACAAACTTATTTTTGAAAGAAGAAGCAATTTGAGAATTTGTTTCATTAAAGCCAACACCTCTTCTGTCCCCAACAGTTATATTCAAACATATCATGTTATCAATATTTTTAGATCCATTAGAGAAGGATTGAAGTTGGGCATTCGATTTTTCAAGATCAAATATAAGAGATTTAATCTTAATTTCTAAGAACTCTTTCTCAATCCTTAATTCATTCAATCCACTAATCAATTCCCTAAGTTTGACCACTAAACTCTCATTTTCTAATTCAAGTTTATGCAATCTCTTAAAGACATAGCCATAAACATTTTTCAACTTAAGGCACTTCTCAAACAATTCGTCAATCGCTTCATAGATACCCTTTCTATCCTCAAATCCTACATCAGAACGTGATCGACTCATCTAGACAAAATTTTGGGTCAATGATCTCTATTAGTCTCTGATACCACTAGAAAGTTTTAATTATTGAATATTTAGACCTAATGTGCAGAATTATAAAATTAAAAGCAACAAGTCACTTTTTAATTATTTCTAGATGGTTAGATCAAACAAGCCAATTTATTCCATATTTGAATGCCACAATCAATAATTCAAGCAGTAAAGAACATCAAAGTTGATCACGGAGAAACCCCAATTGGGTAAAAACTTGTGGCACTTGCTGGTCAATAATCAACTATAAATCGAAACAAACTTACAGTACGGTTCAAACCCGTCTACCCCATAGAACTTCTGACCTCAATTCATACAGTCTTCCTTATCCTACTGGAGGTGTGCTCCTTCAAAACAAATCACAACTCCTGGTTTATACCTTAGCCCTTCTGGACCGCGTGCTCCTGACGCAAGATCCTGACTTCGGTACCTCACCTTAGTCTTCCTGAATTTATGATTCTGCAACAACTCCCAATCCCTGGTAGCGATTTATCTCTGATGGATTAGGTGGTTTGGTATTTGATCAAAAGGTTTTGTGTGTTTTGATATGTAATTTTATATGAAACAATATAGCTTGATCAACAAAACATAATTTGAATGAATTTATGGATCAAGTAATATGTGGTGGTTGAATTTTGGAATCAATGAATGTTTTGGATCTTTAAATGTATTATCTCTACGAAATAAATATGAT